ATCTAATCACCCGTTTAATGACCCCAAGAACCAAATTGGTGGTATTCAACAAAGTTTTTTGTTTCATAAATAGCCATGTATGTGCATTTTAGAGTTAAACGCTATTCAAGAAATGTATGTGGTATTCAACAAAGTTTTTTGCTCATTTCATCAATAAGTCATCATCTGATCCACAAACTTGCTCTTCATCGCATGATTCCAAGATTATTTCCATTCAATGCTATAAAAATGTATAGAGAAACTCAATCTGATGTTGGAAACCAACAGACCTGGAAACCAAGTTACGGTGTTGGAAAAACTTCAGTTTGGGTTCTCATTTTCTCATTACATTTTTTGAAGATAATGATGGAGAAACCTCAGTTTGGGTTCTAGTTTTGGTGGCATTTTAACTTCCAAGAGAGGGATGCCTACACATCTTTATCTCTTAGGGTGAACGTTGTGATTTGGACCTCCTATGTAGAGAGTGTGTCGATAAACCACTTTAGTTAGAGTAGTTAATACAACTTCTGATTAGAGTGGGTCTCTTATTTACAACATGCTTACCCACTATCATGTTCTTGAAACTGGGTTGACAGGTGTCCATCTGATTGGAAGAAATGTTTTGAAATTAAGGAACCTGGTTTATCCACTATCATGCTATTGGGCTTTTTTTCCCAGGAACCTGGCTTACCCAAGCATAACAAACTGAATATAACTGAAGTCGAACTTTACATGCAACTGAAATTCTTTTTCCGATAAGATTAGAATGCCACGTGTCTAACTGGTGAGGCTTCAGCTTGAAAGCCTTCCTTATATATATATTCTGAGTCGCCTTCAATAATAATATAAGAGAAACCCATATCTAAAGGCATGGTTTTCAAAAACGGACAGAACTAGATGGTCGGACCAGGAAAATCGGGAATTGGTCAGGTTAGGTGACCGGTTCCATTTTTCCCCAAAACTAGATATTTACAAAAAAAAACGTTGATTTGATCATCAAACCATTCACCCGAGCGTTTGAACCGTTCAATACTTTTGACCATTTTTTATTTTATTTTTTATCAAAATAGATCAACTATTTAGTTCAAACGGTCAAACTGTTCGACCCAGAAACTGGACCCCTAACCGGTTCAGTCTCTGGGTCGGTGTTAAAAACCTTAATCCAAAGAGAAGGAAAGCCCTGCTATACATAGTTTGAGCCTTTAACCTCCAACAATGAGCATGCTTGTAGTAGAATGGCCCTAGTATAAATCAAATAACCCAAATGATTTCGGATAATAAAACCAGTACTTGAAGAGGATGTACCAACAACACCATCAACATTTAATTTCATCCAAGTGGGTGGAGGAGACATCCACCAAACTGTAAAGATGGGTGTGATAGCGTTAAGATTTAGGAACAACATCTGCAGTTCTGCACTAGCCAAAAATGATGATATAAAGAAATGAAAGATAGCATTCACATCACTTAAAGATTTGGTTTGGAAGAAAAAGGTCTATTCTGAAAGTATAGAACATCACAGTTAGAGAAGATAAGGTCTGCTATTGATGATGAAGCATCCAGATCGATGACTTAAAAATTTCACACCAAAGTAAGTTGTATAATTGACCATATTAGACGATCAACACATGTAGTACCTGGCTTTGACAAAGTGATAAGTTTATATTACATTTGCAACATTATCGGGAGCATATTGTAGAGAGAACTTGTGGATTCCAACACATCTCACCATGATCTATTAAAGCATAATTTTGCAACTAGTCATATCAATTGGAAAATAATCTAAATTAATTGGGCCGGACCTGATTTTCCTAATTAATAATTAGTCATTTCTGAGTATATGCTATACAATTGATTAATAATCGATTCATAACTGATCCATGTTCAAAATTAGATTCGACTAGAAGTGAGTATTTTCGTTTTTTTGATTAAAAATATAATCGAATCAATCAAAATTTTAAAAATTGAAATAAAAAAATTTAAAACCGATTACAATAAAACCGAAATTTCTGACTCTATCTTATAAACTGACGTCTCCATTTATCCACTCACCTCACCAATTAATAAGTCATTTCTGAGTCTATCTTTAGCCAGTATGTTTACCCAAAAAAGTACTAGTCAGGTCGAAGTTTCGAACTTTGGATTTCCTATCCCAACACACTTCAAATATCATCTGTGTCCGTGAGAAAAAAAAAAAACCCCGAAAAACCGAATCGATTGAAAAATCGATCGAAATCAAACTGAAAAATTAGTTAACTGAATCGATCGGTTCAGTTTCAGTTTAGTGTTTTAAAAAATTGAAAATATTAATTCAATTTCGATTAGTTAATATAGAAAACCGGTGGTTAATTGAACCGACCGGTATATATATTTCTATATATTATATATCTATTTATGTATATTATATATATTTTATATTTTTATATATCATAAATTAAGAAATATACATTATATATATAAATATATATTTATAATATATGATATATTATTTATTATTTAAAATACAATATTTTATATATTTTTTATTATATATTTATATATTTTTATAATATATATTATAAAAATTAAAAGACTGAAAAACTGATAAACCGAACCGACGGTTAACCAAACCAGTCAATCAATTAATCGATTCAATTTCGGTTACCAGCTTTTGGAAAACCAGTAGTACCGGTTTGTCCACACATCTCACCATGGAGTTCACATTTGTGCCCCACAAGGGGGTGCCTCACAGTGTCCCACAACACATCCCCGTCGTGCATTGGGAACATCTCCCGATGATAGTATCAGTCTCAATGATGTCATCATCGGGAGATGTTCCCCCTTGTGGGACGTAAATGTGAACTCCTCACCATGAGGCTAAGGCTGGGACTTAGGGCTTCAAGTCGGGTCGGGTTTAGGTCGTGTTGAGGCCAACCCTAACCCAACGCTAAGTTCTAAACCCCAACCCTAACCCTAACCCAACTCGACCTTCAACCTGACGAGCCCAACCCTAACCCTAACCCTAACTAAATTCCTTCTACCCTAACCCTAACCCAATCCAACCCGAAGTCAATTTTGGGTTGGGTTGGGCCCAACCCAACAACCTTCTTCCCATCCCTTAAACCTCATAGAATTTTTCGATTTTAGATCTTAACTTAACTCTCACTACATATATTAGTCCTACGTTTCGTTGGTATTTATTTGTTGACGTTTTTCTTTTTGTTCTTTTGGTACAAAATTCAAAAAAAACAAGTGGCAGAAAATGACCATAGTTTATTATGAGTTATGACTTACGATAGATCTTTTTTAGGCGGCAAACAACATAGAAGAGATGAAGAATAAAATTTTCAAAAAACATAAAATAATGTTATTAAGGTTAGGGTTGTTCATAAGAAGACCCAAACCGACCAACCCCGGACCGACTCAACCCGAGTCGGCCGGGTTTTCTACAACATCAATTGGTTTCAGGTCGGTTTCGGTTTTCATGTGTGAAAACCGAACCGACCCGAATCGAACCGACTTAATAGTTAGTTCCTAGTTAGTAGTTACAACCTACTTGTGAAAACCGAAACCGACCCGAACCAAACCGACTTAGTAGTTAGTTCCTAGTTAGTAGTTACAACCTACTTGTGAAAACCGAAACCGACCCGAACCGAACCGACTTAGTAGTTAGTTCCTAATTAGTAGTTACAACCTACTTAGTTCCTACTTAACTAAGTTGTCTCTATCCTAGTTACAACCTAACTTAATTTATAGTCTTCTAGTTAGGAATGACATTAATGGCAAGTATTGTAAGACAACTAGAGAATGAACTTTTTTGGAAAAATTTAAAGAAAAGAATCAAATGATCATAGTTTCTATGGTCTTTTACACAAAATAGGCAACCAATTACAATTAGAATTATGTGTCCTTTTTTACTTAAATTATAAGGTTTCTTGAAATATACAAATTTTAGTCTTCTTTCTCTAATACAGTTTGACTTCCTATTTTCTTAATAACTTCTATTCTAACTTGGTCCGCCCCCCTTAGCCCCTCAACTTAAGCACAATCTCTAATACAATTTGACTCTCAAGAATAAAAAATTTGAAATTTCAATTTATTACCATGGTTGAACTTAGAGCCAAAATCGACCCAAACTAACCCAACCTGACTCAACCCGACCATGTTGGTTTTGCTTAACACAGGGTCGGTTTCAATTTCAATTTTAGGTAACCCGACCAGGTCGGGTCGGTTGGAAAAATCTCAGTAAACCGACCCAACCCGACCTGTGAACAACCCTAATTAAGATTTTAGTCTTTCTTATTAGAATTAAGTGAAGTGATTATCTTAAAAGAAACACATGATACTATGTAGTGGGGGCTATACAAATATCATGCATCTAAGCAAATCAATGTATGTTTTATATTACATGATACTATATATGACATGTACTACAGAGTTGGGTTCGAGTTGGGTCGGGTTGGCAAATGGGTCAACCCTAACCCAACTTGAAGCAAAGTCGGGTTCATGAATTTCGACCCTAACCCTAACCCGAATATCAACCCGACCCAACCCAAGTTGCAGCCTTAGGACCTATCATAGATTTCGTTGGAATGGATCTTTTTGTTGGGAGGAAATCTGTTCCGCTAGTGGGGCCATTACATCGGTTCGAATTCACATTTGCACCCCAGCGAATCCCAGCCGTGTATTTTGGACTAAATTTGGTCCAATCCAATATGAATCCATTACACATGGACCTGATCCAATCCGGTCCAATAAATATTTTGGACCATTTTGGACGGGTCCATAAACTGTCAAATCTATTCACATTTCTGTTAATTTAGATTGATTTCAAGTCAAACCTGGTCCATTGACACCTACGTTTTTATCTTCTACCAATGGACCAGACTCAATCTAATATAAATTCATTATGGACGGACCAGGATCAATCCAATATGTCATATCGATCCGTCCATTCCGTCCAAATTCAACGTGTTATTGGTCCGTCCAATCCGTGAAATAGATTTTGATTTGAACGGAGTCCAACCCAATACATTGACATCCCCATTGGGAGCATAATGGCAACTACGGACGTATTCCCACCTTTTCAAAATTTCTGTACTCGTAGAGATTCTGGCGCGGATCTTGCTCCTTGGAGAAAAACCTCTGAAGGCTCTGCCGCTGCAATTATTCGGTCCTTTGTTCATGGAGAAAATGGCGAACAAAACGCAAACCACTCTTTCATTTGAAGCCTTTTTTGAAAATGAGAGACATAACTGAGCCCCAGAAGTTTCTATCTTTTGCAAGCGTTTCTCTATTTTCAAATGGAGATTCAAAGGAATCAAAAGCAAATTCACTGCCCTGAAAATGAAGCCCTTGCCTCGTACATGTGGAATAAGAGGCAAGAAATGACTGAGGCCAAGGGACTTTCGGAACACATAGATATGACGCTTTACAAAGCTTATTGCAGTGTCTGCAGCTCGAAAGCTCCTATCAAGACTCTTAAGGAGTTCTCTCAGATCAAGTAGGGGTTTAGGGTTCTGCAGAAATATTTATTTTTGAATCCTTTTATTTGCGGAATTATTATTATTATTATTATTATTATTGGTTATTAATATGGGTTGGATTTCTGTTAGGGGTGTGGGAAAATGGATTCTGAGGCTCATGAAAGGGTTTTTCGAGAGCGATGTGGTTGTTTCTGATGTGGGTACTTCTGAACCTGAGGACTTGACGCAGGATGGTATTAAATTTGAAGGCCTTTTTGTTTATATACATGCTTAATGCCAAAATTTATGAAGAAAATGCAATTATTGCCTCAGTTCCTGTTTTGCTTTGATATTTTCAGGGAAGAAAATTAAAGGAACCAGACGTTATGTACCACAGAAGAATTCAGCGGCATATGCGTTATTGATTACCCTTTACAGGTAAAGTCTACGTCTAACATTTCTATTTAGTTTTACTCTCTTTCTTTCTCATAATTTGGTGTCTGGATGAGTTGCAAAATCTGCTCTTTCAGGGCACAAGCAAATGGGAGTGAATTTATGCGCAAACAGGAGCTTATTGATGCTGCTGGAGAAAGCGGACTTTCACGGGGGCCAATTGCGTATGTCATCTAAGTGTTGATGGTTTCTTTGGTCCTTTTTAATTCTGGTGAATGGTGATCGAAGTGAGGATAATGACTCAAATTGAATTTCTATGAACAGGGCAGAAAAAGGGAGGGGAAAAGCTAATCCTTTTGGAGGCTCGCCAAAGGAATGGTATACTGGATGGAACTCCATGCAGACATTGATAAGAAAGGGTTTAGTTGTGCGATCGAGTAATCCAGCAAAGTACCACTTTTTTTTGGTTCCCTTTATAACATCTAATTTTATATTTTATGTTCTTATGCTTATTTGTTCTTTTCTTGCCCATTTCATTTAATTATATCTACATATCAAAGTCAAAATGTAGTGCTTAAAGATGAGTGAAGCAACAAATCAATACCTATGCTGCTATGCAAGTAATGGACGTATGATGTAGCAACCTCAATGCACCTGAAAAAAAGTGGAGTAATGGACACACCCACACCTTAGTACCCTTTTCTGTGAACATGGTGCACTGCTCTGTGTTCACTTTACTTGGATTTGTGACTTTCCAGTGAAAATGCTGTGAGAATGTGCTCTTGGATTGTAAGTGTGTGCTCTCCATCTAATTTCAAGTCTAAACTGGGCCCTAACACTAAGAAGCAAATGGTACAACATGCTTGCTGGAGGCTGCTCCCTGCATAGGAGCCACACTCCACATGCTACAAATACATCAAATGCTCCACATATTCACATTTTTGCAGCAGCCAACCCATGGGTTTGGAAAGGAACTCCTTTGATGTTGAAGCCCAGGAATGAAGCTTTCCAACTGATAACTCAACGAGCTCATCTTCCTCCCTACTTATATTGTTGAAGACCCTCCTATGGCCCTATTCCCTTCAATTATAAAGGTCCACATAATCGCTGCTGGAACCATCTCCTAAATCAGCTTACCTTTGCCACTCAGACCCTGAAGGGGCCAGGTTAGCCGTTAGCAGCACCCTGCTGAGGGACTTAGGCATGGTCCGCAGAGTATTTGCACCATATATAGAATTCCAAAAGAGTTAGGCTGCTGGAACCATCTCTCAAATCAGCTTAGCTTTGCCACTCAGACCCTGAAGGGGCCAGGTTAGCAGCACCCTGCAGAGGGACTTAGGCATAGTCCACAGAGTATTTGCACCATATATAGAATTCCAAAAGACTTGGGCTGCTGGAACCATCTCCCAAATCAGCTTACCTTTGCCACCCAGACCCTGAAGGGGCCAAGTTAGGAGCATCCTGCAGAGGGATTAAGGCATTGCTCAAAGAGTATTTGCACTATACTCTGTATAACTGCTCACTGTACAAACTTCTGTACAAATGAAAAAACTTTAAGAGCCCTCAAAAAAATATACCACCACACAAGAAGCCAAATTATCCCCCTTAAAGAGCAAATTTGTACACAGCCACCCTTAAGAGCAACTTTTCTTTTCATTATCCACGTGCATTATATAAATGCATTTCATAGTAAAGAAAATTTTGGATATTTTTTTTGCCCACTAAACCTAATTTAAGTTTGGGAAGTAAGTTTGTGCAAATATTTTTAGGTGGATGCATAGAAATAATGACTTATCTGAATGTTTTTTTTTTTTTAAATTTCATTAATGTGCAGTTTTTTTTTTGGGATGTGTAAGGCTTTCTAAGCTGATCTGAAAATAAGTAATTTTGTTGAGCCTTATCTTTCTTTCTTTCTTTTTTTGGTTAGGATGACATAATGGGTCATGGTTATTTTAGCTTTCAGAAATGAACATAAGAAATGCAATTCCTTGAAGAGTTGTTGTGGTGCTTTTTTTTATTAATATTATCTCTAGTGTCCTCACTTAAGAATCATGAGCTTCTTGCACCTTCATTCATGGTTGAAAGGTATCTAAGTGACAGTGGGAGTTGCCTAGTCAATATGAATTTTACAGAATAAAATACTGAGTTTTGGTTTGTTCTCTAGTTTTACATACCATTCAGCATGCATTTTAATTGAAAAAATAGCAATTATATTTATTAAGAACATTAAATTTTCTCTCAAAACATGGCAAATCATCATATCTAAGACAGTAGTTTTTTAAATATATTAATTGCAATATTTTCAAAAATAATACTAATATATTAATTAAAATATTTTAAATAGTAGTTTAAATAATTAATTTCAAAGGAAGGGAAACCATAAATGAATCTTGAGACTTCAGACTGTGAAGTGTTGTAAGTTGTCATTTCTGAGTTTAATTCACTATATTAAGAAATCCACATTAAATTCAAGTAGCAAATCTTGCATAAACAGAACAGAATGGAAAAACAGGCTTCATGTAGGCTGTAGGTGGTCCCGTATAGTTGGGATAAGGCTTAGATGATGATGATAATAATGATATTACCAACTTTTTTGTTTGTGCAGGTACATGCTAACTCAAGAAGGCAAGGAAGCAGCATGTGAATGCCTCTCAAGGTCTGGTTTAGTGGATGGATTTCCAAATAAAGATGACAGTACATCAGATATGGGGTTTCCTCATTCTAAATCAGCTGCTAAAGAGGTCCAATCACTATCTGTTGATTTGAGTAGCCAAAAGAAATCAAGTGACATCCCATTTGAATTATGTGATCAGGTGAAGTCTACTTTCTACAAGAACCTATTTTCTCTGTTTGGAGAGTAAGATATGTAGGTTAGGCTCCTTGGCCAGAGAGCTCTTGTTCCTTTTTTGAAGTTTATTTTATCTTATTTGTAACAGTTCCCTTAATCTCTTTGTTTGTTGTTCTTTAGTAAATTTTTTGGTTATTATTGTAATTTATGAAAACATTTTATGATTCACTTCGAACATTTATTTTAATTTCTTAGGATGCTGAATTACAATTTCCAATCAACTAAACATAAAATCTTTATAAGGAATTGGTATCCTCTAGGGTTTGGAAACTTGTAATCTTTGCATTAATCACGATAGTTTATGGAATCTCCAAATATGAGTAGTTTGTTTTCATTCTTGGTGTATCAAAATTCTTTTGCACTCTCCCCATAGGTTGATGGATTCGTGCTTGTTCTACTATTTTTGGTAGTTGTTCCTTCACCTTAGAAAATCATGTACGCCTGGCAAGGCGCTCCCAAAACGCCCTGAGGTGTATGCCAGAGGCGCTGACACCTCTGAGTTATACGCCTCTTGCGCTTTTTTAATGAGGCGTGCTAGAGGCGTACGCCTCATGCACATCATATATAGAAAGACAGAAAAAAAAGAAAAAAAAGGAAAGGAAAGGGAAAGAAAAAGAAAGAGAAGAAAAAAAGAGAAAAGGAAAGAAAAGATAAGGGGAAAGAAAGTGGTTTGTCCCTTGCCCCTTTGGCTGGGGGGCTTCGCCCCTAGAACCCCCCCCCCCCTTCAACTAATGTTATGCATCTTTATTCTTCTTAATATAAAAGATTTTTATTAAAAATAAAGAAAAAATGAGATCTCCCTTCCTTTTCGTCCTCCTCCTAACCCCCCTCCTCTTAAGGAGGCTTATGCTTCCTTGTGTTCGGGAGGCTTACGCCTCTTGCGTTCTGAATTACGCCTCACGCCTCTAGGTAGTGGAATGCCTCGCGTCACGCCTCCGTGTTTTAAACATTGCTCTAGTTGTTCAGGGTTTTTTAATTGAAATTCATACTTTACCTCTTCTCAAAAAATAAAAAAAAGAAAACTTTGAAAGATTTATATATGATAGAAAATACAGAAAATTAGTCTATGCCATGATAACTGATACTAATCTATCTAAAGATCTATTTTGGAAGGTATGCATGCACTGCAAAAATTGTTCCATGTAATGAGCTAGTAGAAGTTATTGTAATGAGGGTGTACAGTGACAGTCTTTCTTACCTGTTTAAGCTTTTAAAAATTGATCAAGTTCGGTATGTTGCATTTAAATGAGAATGAATTTGTTAATACTTCTATGTCCCAGTATTATTTTAGTTATCTTTCTATCTTTTGGAACAAGAATGTAAGGTTATTTTCCTGGTCTTTGTTTATGCACTGCATCAAATTTATAGTTTGCTTATATGAGCTTCATCATATTGTAATACTTGCTACTTGCTTTATTCAAGCAATTAATATAGCTCTTGGGACCTCTGGTGGTTTAGTGGCAATAAGAGCTACAGAAGAAATAGGTTTGGTATTCTTATTGTTTTTAACCAATTTAATTTGTTGTTTTCAATATTTGGAAGTTGGAACTTGCTTTATCAATAAATGGATCTAGTTCATGGGATCTCTACTGGTGGTAATATATTGCTAGAAGGAATTCCATGCTCTAAATTATTGTTTTTCTGAATCAGAGTAATGCGTTCTCTTGCTTTTCCATTTGTTCTTTACCCTGTAATTAGAAACCTATTTTTATAATTAAGAAGAAAACAAGTACACAAGGTGCAGGGGAATAGAAATTCCCTAGTTGAGAAGTTCTAGAAGCCTGACTTGAACAAATACCTCACAAGACATCTTTATATTTCAGTAGTGCATTCTCATCATAACTCATGCTTAATTCTAGTAGGCATTCATTTATGAAACTTCTTATGAGAAGTTTGTTAGAGGAAGAGATACTTTAACTTTAGGATGCAATATCTTAAAAATTCAACTAAGCCTCCCTAATTTTGTATTTATTTTGTTTCTCCGTCTCTATGTAAAGGGAGAAGTTATATCTAGGAATCTTTTCTTTATGTTTTTAGAACATTTGCTATTTTCCTATACCCTTTTAATGTTTAAATATGTATTATTCTGTTCTTCTTTTTCAGTTGCATGATGCCATAATCATTTGCATTTTGGTATTATCATTGTAACATTCCACCAACTGATGCCCTGTTTACCTTGTTATATGCCACTGGGTATATGTCTCTTTGCTCACCTATTATTATTAGGCTCTGGTTCAGTCATGTAATATAAAATTAGTTTAGTTATTGTCTGGGGAAAAATGCAAGGCTATGGTGTCTCTTTATTATGCACTAATACCAAAATAAAATATAGATATTTGAATGACAGAATTTGTAGCTTTTGTTGTCTAATGAAACTCATTATTTGTAAATTAGTTTTGAATTTTGATAATTACCTTCTGATGGATGCTATGCTTTGTATGATGGGGTGTTAAAGGAATTGGTTTGTTCTACTTCAATAAAAGTTTCGGAAGTAGCTTGGAAGGATACTTCATCTCATCCTATTGCTTTACATCACCATAGAGAAAAAGTTTATCCTTTGCATTTGGAGTTCAAACAAAATATTGGAAACGGTTGTCTTGCAACATCAGGTGCTTATACCTTAACAAATTCTGGTATGCTTGTCTTCACAATGTTGACAATAAAAGCTAGTAAAACCTCCTATTGATAAAAATGTAATATTAACTCATAATTAAATAGTTGAAGTATCCTGTATTGATATGTAACCTTCTTAATGACCAGGTCAGGTAGATTTTGTTAGAAGAGAGAATAACCAGAGAACTTTTGCTTCTGCTGGTGCACAGTGTGGTTCAGAGTCTTCATGTTCAACTGAATCAGCTAATTATTCCTTTAACTTGAAAGCTTGCTCATCGTTGGTATGTATGATGGAATAAGTGATTCTGGTCTTTGCTTTGTAATGGATTACATAAGTCTTGGTTATTGATTGACTTATATTTTATTGATGGTTTAGGAACACCCCATCACCAAGTCAAAATCTGAAGATTTTGAAGCCAGTGCAACTACTTTAGCAATGCCCCCTCTCAGATTTGGGGAGAGGTTTGGGGATGTTTATGATGTAGTCTTGATATTGGATGATCGGGAACAATTTACTGGTCACAGGTTAGTGAATTAGCTTTCTTAATAATGTAACCTTTTAAGTTCATACAAGGATACATTTATATTAACTTGGTGTGGCCTCAGATATGGGAATTTGAAAACCTAGAATTTTATTGCTTACTAATAGAAATCTATACATAGTAACATTCACTGGGATTTAGGAATTGAAGTATTTCATTAATTCATTTTTGTTGTTTTTATTCCCACCTACTAATAGAATTTTATTGCCTGATATAGACTGATACATATTGGAACTTACTTATTGGCTGTAGTATTTAACAATAATTTTTTGGAATTTTGTATTTTTTTATCTGTTTGATTATAAAATCTGATCTCAATGGAAAGACCTCTCTAGGCCTTCTTTTCTTCCCAAGGTCAAGTTCAGTTACCGTAAAGTCCAGTTTTATGCCAGTACTACCTTGTTAGTTGTTAGCTTTAAATTTGTATCGCTACATCACATTTGTGCTTATGTTTGCCTAGAATGGAAATATATTGTTCATGGATGTGAAAACAACACTGTCAATAAATGATAAAATCGTTTTATTATGATAGGCTCCATTTATTTTATTGTGAAGTTTCAATTATATGTACACTTTTTTTTTATATGCTGAAACTTTGTTTTTCCACCTGTTTTACATCAAAACAAATGCAATCATAATAAACAATGGATCTTCCTACTTTAGTGTTTCACGGTGAAATAAAGTTTATTGCAGCTAATGGCAAATTTGGTCTTATCTGTACCTTCCAATCTACAACTTGATTGAATTCAATCTTAATCCCAAATATTTGGGGTTCACTACAGGGTTCTTGTCCCACTAGTGTGCTCTATCGAGAGCACTGTTTTCTATTAAGTCATAAGTCCTTAGATGAAGTCTTGTTGCTTTATCCCATGCTTTCTTTGCCCCTTCCCATGTTCTTTTAGACTGAACCAAGCCACTCATTGGTGCAACCAATTGTCATCTATGCAAATGGCTAAAACATCTTAGTGAATCTTTGTTATGGGCTTGGGCGTAGGATCTCGTCACGGGTCGGTCCACGGGGAGAACCTCTAGTTTCCCCTTGCCCCTCCCTTTGCGTGCTGACCCTATCGTGGCGACCTAAGGGGTGATTTGTCCAAGAGATCACCCTAACTCTCTTTTACTCTTCTCTTTGACTGAAATTTTGGATGCCTTTATTCA